AATTGTCCCTCCTTCTCCACCAGAGCATCTGGTGTATTCAAACCGTATACCTTTGGGATTGCAGTACAGCTTCTTGCCACTAGGCCACCAGACCTCCCGCCTGTGTGTGATTTTTAACTAAAGTTTACAGAATCACCTGCTATATATCTGAGAGCTAGACAAATTAAATGACAGGCAAGGAATCGCTGCTTTTGAGTTGCAATGTTGTGAAAAGAAGTAGGCACATAATACATACTTGATAAATAAATACAAGAATTATATACATCATTCAGAGAGTGAAGAATGGGAATGAGCAAGCAAAAAGGCATGCTCTTAAGTTGTGCTTTAAAACCCGATAAGCATCTTTTCAATTGCCAAAGGAAGAAACAAATCTGTTTTGGATAAAGTGCTACCAGATTGGCCTGAGCAGGGTGAAGGCAATGGCTGTGGCGGTAATGGGGGATTAATGGCAGGGCACAAGGTCTGGATCAGAGGGTCAGGAATTCTAGTTGACTCCAGCAACAATTTTTAAAAATAAATGATACTCTGCTGACAGACAGATTGTTGTTCGAAAAGAGTGACCTCAAAATAATATTTTTAATACAAAAAGCACACACAACCACCTTCTTTTAAATAATTGTTTATTATGAACAGGAAGTAATTTTAGAAATTGCACAAGAAATTAAATATGAATTCACAGTACCTTTATCATCTCTTCATGATTTAAAACGTTCATCTCTTATTTAAAACTAATTATAAAAATGCATGTATTAACCAAGTAATCAAGAAATGCACATTTTTAAAAAAAGAAATGCACATTTAATAATCATTACATAACTAAGCACATAGAGATAACTTACTTTAAAATTAAAACTGTTCCAAAGATAGATTTTTCTAACCTTTAAAGACTAATAATGCTAAATTCACAGACATAATGATATTAAGGATAATATCCAGATTGCTAGCCTCTGATACTCAGAAAGGAGAAGCATGAATTCAAGAAAAATAGAAATACCTTAAGGAAGAAAAATGTTTAAGCATAGTATTCAATGAAAACTATATAAGCTATTGGTTTTTAATCTATTCTATGCAGCATTATTAAATTCTGAAACACTGGTTTTCCTTCTATTGAATTAACTTGTTATGGTTTATTCAATTTAGTATGGCCCAAAGAGCAAAAAAACCCCCTCAAAAACAAAAATGTTATAAAACACTCAATAAAAAGGCATATTGTCCCAGAAAGTATATGTCTATATACTTTATTTAATCTTAAAAAAGCCTAGCTCTATTCTGGGAATGAAAAAAAAATCACTCTAGAACACAAACAGTTGTGATGAAACTAAAATCTTTTTCTTTCTAGGAGGACAGAAGTGGATGCTTTTGAGCTGTGGTGCTGGAGAAGGGTACTGAATGTACCATGGACTGCCAGGAAAACAAACAGATTCATCCTAGAGAGGATTAAACCAAGCTGCTCCTTGGAGGCAAGGATTCTGGGGCTTCGTCTGACATACTTTGGACATGTTGCCAGGAGGGACGGGTCCTTGGAGAGGGACATCATGTTGGGAGGGTGGAGGGACAGCGCAGGAGGGGAGGACCCTCTATGAGATGGATTGATTCGGTGACTGGGGTAATCGGGATGGGTGTGTCAGAGGCGGTGCGGTTGGCGTAGGATAGAGCAGGGTTTAGGGCTGTTGTGAATAGGGTCGCTATGAGTGGCAAACGACTCGACGGCACATAACAACAACAACAACAACAGTATTTTATCACATGTTCAGTTACTTAAAAGGTTTGGTTATACTTAAGTTTATGTATACCAATGTTTGATTAGAAGTCAAGGAAAATTGTTCTTAATGATTTGTGAACTTTAAAGAGTTGATCTTTAAATTATACAAATCTCAACAAAGCTGTTGCATAAAAATGATTTATTCAGTTAGCTAGCACAGTGGCGGTGTAAAGTAATGGGATAATAGGAAATAATAATAAACTAGGAACTGGGTAAATTCCAAGCATATTGTACATATTCTTAGTGACTGAGAAAATTTATGAGTATGTGAATGTGTGTGTTCCCGACACCCCCCCCCCCAGTGTACATTAGGTGAGTGGGATGTGCTTGGGACAAAGGAGGAAGTACGAGGGCCAAAGGTCAAGAACCAACTGACAGTTAAAATTTCTAGAACACTGATTAATTTATAGAACACTTCTGTATCAAACATTCACAAAATAAAAAGATTCCTCTTCCTTCAACCATAAACGTGCCCTTTCCAAAACAGTAACACAAACACAAGAAGCTCATTTTAAAAATGGCTTCTCTCCTTGGGCTGTGTTTTTCTGTACAGATTAAGTGAATGAAAATTGAAAGCTGTTTTTAGACTCAATTTCAAATATAAATAAGAACTTACTCTAAGGAACAATTTAAAAAGAGTCTAATGAAAAGAAAAACACATAGATGAAGATAAAATATAAAATGCTGCTATGTTTATTCTTTCATTGCTCAACATCAAATGTTACCAATTAAAGTATATTCAAGCTAAAACTTAAGAATTACAGCAGTAATTTCTAGGAGAAAACACCCCATCCTTCCATCCCAAACTTCATATATTATTAGTATATGGTCATTTAATAAATAATATTGAATATAATGATGATGACTAAGAGTCATATGAGTTTACAATTTACTATCAGATCAGACAATGATCTACAAGAGCACCTATTTAAAGGTCAAGTTTAACTGCATGTCTTTTCAAACTGAGATATTGAAAAGAATATATATATTCTGCATAGAATGTAGAGGATTAAAAAAAATAGAATCCTCAAACATGTAAACAATGCAGAGAAGGAATATTGAGAATCAACAAAGAATCAACAAAATGTAACAAAGAAGGACTTCCTTCAAATTGTCACAAGAATTAATTTTTCTAATCATTTCACAAGGACAGAAGAACTGTCTCCATAAAGAAGACAACACACTAGGGACACAAAGACCTTCCAAGTTATTTTTTTATGTTAACATATATTTACAGCAAATATGTAATAATACCCTTCACAGCTTAAACAGAAACATGCTTTTCTATTCTATAGGTGCTGATCACATCCATTCAACTGCATTTATTAAGCTTTTTTCATGTCCTCTGCACTGTATTGGACATGAAAAGATGAAAATGGCAGTGGTCCTTACACCAAAATCTGCTATCAATTTGGAGAGACAAACATAGAACATTTCCATTATCTATGGAAGCCATTTTGACATTAAATGGAACTGATCTATTCAGTTTCCTAGTAATATGATTCCTGAATTCTGATTATACATTCCAACAAACCAATGTGTTTACCAGATAAAACAGTAAGTTTTACTTTTAACACACACAAAAACAGGTCTTAATGGATAGGATTTTCTGTTCAAATGTTCAAAGTGTATGCAATAGATAACTTGTTTCAGAAGGTGAAAAATTTGTAATAAAATTTCAGAGTGTCTTTGAAACCACTAAAAATTCTAGGACTTGAACAATTCAATGATCTGCAAAAGTGAGAAAAGCTCACTTAAATGAAGGAGGTGGCACATGGTTGTAAAATGAGTTATTGCTTTTCATGGCTTCTTGAGTGCGTAAGAGTATCAGGTATTGTGGTGGTGTTTTTTTCAGCAAAGAAACGCATATTTATAAACTTTCAAGACCCATAATATACCTCACCACTGGCCTCAGTCCCTCTTTTGTCCCACAGACCTTGAACCAAGTGTCACTCAACTGTCCCCAAGTTTTGGCAAACCATTTGTACTTGAAAGTGCAGCCACTGGGACTCTACTACAAAGTGTTCCTTGGGCACCTAGAGGGCACTTAAGAGTACGATGGAAAGGAAGACTTAAATTTTTAATCACTATACATAGTGAAATTCAAGAGCAGCTTTGGAAGACAGAGCCATGGCTCAGGATTTACAGTGACTGCTTCTTGAAGTCAGGAACACAACAGTGAGGTCCTGCAGGGCCTCCACAACATATGAGAAAATGTCTACCTCGAAGAGAGCTCTGGTGGCCTAGTGGTAAATAACTGCTGCCAACCCAAAGGTTGGTACCTGGTTTGAATCCTCCATTTGCTGAGTGGGAGAAAGATGGGCAATCAACTCTTACGTCATTTACTGGCTTGTAGAGTGCATGAGAGAAGCAGGAAATTCCCCCCTCCAAAAAAAAAAAAGTCTAATTATGTATTTCTAAAATCCATAATATACTTCCACAGTGCCTAGTAACATCCCTTGGTTTCTAGGACATATTCCTCTAAAATCCCAATGGAGGGTCAGCTATGAGTTGGTTCTGGCTTGACAGCACAAAACAATACCTTGAAGGGGTTCCAAGTTTCAAAGCTCTAAGACACTAGCACCAAGGACTGATAAGGAGTCACAGTCAGACTGTGATGTATCTGTCAGAATACCTGAGCCATTTCTGCTGCTCATGCCTGATGGCCTCAGTATAGAGGCAGGAGACTCCCACGGCTCCCACGTGTCAAGGCCACTGTTGCTTCTAAGGACAAGGAAACAAGAGGCAACTCTGATGGGACAAAACAGGTCTCATGAAGTTTATAACGGGTCCTACTTCTCTTTTTGTTTATTCATTTACAGGGCATTATTTGACAAAGATTTCCCCTTTCACATCAGTAGATTTGTTTACAGAACTTTTATTCATTTAAGTGTGATCAGGCCCCAGATTTCCAAGTACAAAAGAATATAGCATTAAATTAAAAAACACTTTTCAAGTAAGACAAAGGGCAGGAGATACAGGCATGAAATGGTATTACATGAATTTTCAGTTGTTTAGAAAGTGTTCTAGAGCATTGGAAATGTGCATACTCAGGTGCTTTGCCTTGCATTTGTTTGTTCTCTACCCCAGAGTCTGGATACTCTGGAGACAGGAGTTGGGTCATGTTGATTACGATGCCATTTTAAAGAAACACTGTTTTTCGCACCCAGTCAGGTTCTGAATGGCAAGGGACACTACCACATAACTGTATACAAATTTGGTCAGAAGAGTGCAAACATTACCGAGCAGTTACCATCCAGAGGCCCAGGGTCACATTGGCAGCTAAAAGCACACTGCCTCCAAGCAGGATGAAAAATCCTATCAGATCTTTGACATCATTGTCTCCAATCACTGAGGTCAGGGTGGCATCCAGGAAAGAGTTTAAAATCCACTGTCCATCCAAAGCAAAACAGGGCACTGCATTAACAATAGCCAGAGCGCCTGAGAGTGAAATCAGGTACCTGGTTACCATCCGTTAAGGATCTGATTCTGAAGGCCGAGTGGAAACCACATTTATGGCAGTCAGAAAAAGGACATTATGTTTGGAAACTAAAAGGTCAGTGAAGGAAAGGAAGGTATCAAAGAGATGGATAGACATAGTGACTGCAACAATGGGATTGGGCAGGTTGGAGACAAGGATGATGCAAAATAGAACAAGGTTCATTCAACTAATTGACACCTAACAGGAGCCACACGTCCAAACGAGGCAGAGTTCAATATATGATTAGTAAAAGAGGCTCTCATCCTCTATAAACTTATTAAAAGTTTTTGTTGTTTTGTGGCATTGAGCTGGAACTGATGCCTAGCTGACCATCCAGCAGGTTTTCTGAGGAGGCAGTTAATTACATAACAGGAGATTGCTCATCTTTCTCCCATAAAGCACTTGCTGGATTTGAACTGCATGCCTTGAGGACTGCACTGCAGCTTCTTACCACAAGGCCATCAGAAATCCCTAAAAAGGTTTTAGACCTGTAAAATCAACTCACGTTTCCTGATCACATTTTCTCCTCTGATTTTTTTTTTCTCCTGGGAGCAATCCTCTTTAATGTCTCATTTTTAGTTTTGTGAAACTGGTAATTTGAAGGTGTGTTTGCATGCTCTGTTCAACCCAAGACTGCTTGCTGCAGCTCAAAGGAACTGCACTTATTCATACTACAAAGGATACTTGACAAATGTCTCCACAATCACAGGCAGATCTATGCTGAGAAAGTTGAAACGTGGGATGAAACTGGTGATGCTCACTGTAAAAGAGAAAAGAAGTCATAAGATGATAAATATTACTCATTACCAGCTAAACAACAGCATTATACATTGTACCAGTGTTGAGCCAAACTTGGGACTTATACTTCTGGCTGTTCTTTGTCAATGTACTGTTCTGGTTTTTTATGATCTTCATCACGATATTGATAGTATGTGATATTAATGATATAGTTTGATAATTCCAACCTTTTATTGGTTCACATTTTTTGGTAAAGGGAACATGTTCCAGCATAATGAGCTGGAGAAGGTATGCAACCTCATCCACATCACGCTGTACCAGAGTGCTGAAAGAATGCCTCAGGGCTTACCCGGTAGTGATACACCCCCATTTGGTGGTGCCTCTTCTGGACCCACTATTGAAGATGTTGACTTAGATAATCTGAATACTTTAGCATTATTCCCCAGTTAAAAATAAAATTGAAGTTTCAAAGTTAGAAATGCTAGACTGAATTTCTGGGCATTCTCAATACTTGAATATGGAATATGCATGTTGTTGTTATGTGCCATTGAGTCGCCTGTGCCTCATAGTGCTCCTATGTTACGACAGCCCAAAATCCTGCTCTATTCTGTACCAATCGTATTGTCTCTGACACATCTATTCCCATTACCCCAGTCAATGAGCCAGTCCATCTCATTGAGGGTCTTCCTCTCTTGTACTGTCCCTCCACCCTCCCAAGCATGATGTCCCTCTCCAAGGACTGATCCCACCTTGGCCCTCTCCAGGATGAACTTGTTTCTTCTCCTAGCAGTCCATGGTACAGTCAATATTCTTCTCCAGCACCACACCTTAAACGCATCAACTCTCCTTCTACCATCCCTAGTCATTATCCAGCTCTCTGATGCATAGCAAGTAATTGCAAAGACCATGGCCTGTACCAGGTGCACCTTAGTCTCCAGATCAACTTCACTGCACTTCAGTACTCTTCTCTGACAGTAGACTTTCACAATGCAATTCGGCTTTTCATTTCCTGGCTGCAGATACCAAGATTGTTAACTGTGAAACCAAGCAAACTAAAGCTGTTAACAATTTCAATCTCCTCACTAACCATAATGATGATAATGTGCATAGGGAAAGGAAATAACATTACACTTTATTATCATTGTACTGTTAAGTGGAAAATTTAATTATCTCAAATGTTGTTGTTATGTACTGGTGAGTCTCCTGCAACTCACAAAGGTACCAACAACAGCTCTGAACCCTGCCCTATTCCAATCCAGCCTCTCTGAGTCTGACACACCCACCCCCATGACCCCAATTACTGTATCAATCCATGTCATTTGGGGTCTTCCTCTCCTGCACTGTCTCTCCACCTTTCTGAGCACGATGTCCCTCTCCAAGGACTGGTCCCTCCTCTAAACGTCCAAAATATGTAAGATGGAGTGTCAAAATCATTGCCTCCAAAGAGATACTTCATTTCACTCTCTCCACAATAGACATATTTGTTCTCATGGTTGACCATAGTATCTTCAGTACTCTTCCCCAGCACAACAGCTTAAAGATTTCATTCTTCTTCTGTCATCCTTGGTCACTGTTCAGTTCTCTGATGCCTCACATGTAATTGTAAAGACCATGGCCTGGATCAGGTGCACCTTAAGTCTCTAGACTTATGTTGTCATTGCTCCTCAGCATTTTGGAGAGACCCCCTGACAGCAGACTTCCCCACTTCAATTTGTCTTTTTATTACCTCACTACTGATACTAAGACTGTTGACTGTGAGGCTGAACAAGCTGGAACTGTTAAAATCCCCAATCTCTTCTCTACAACAGTTGCTGACAAAATGGCCAGAGAGGGGTAAAACCCCTTCCATTACCTTGGCCTTCCTTCCTCCTCCTCCTGTTATCTTTTGATGCTTCCTGGATCATTAAATATTTTGCTCATTGCATCTTTTTTTTTTAATTTCATTGTTGTACTTTTTTCCTCCCCGCTCCTGCAATGTATCCTTTATTTCAGATTGTTCTGATATATCATGTCTAATCATATATTCATTTTTTTTTAATTGGGAAAAACATATTGGGGATACAAAGAGGTGAGGGTTGGGGGCAGAAGGGTGAGGATGGTCCAGGATGCAGTTGCAGAGCTGCACAGTTTGGTCGGTGGGGGAAGGCAGGTGAAGGAAATGATGAGGGTCCAGTGGGGACCAGATGCTACAGAGGAATGACAAGCATTTTCCAATAGTAATTAAACCAACTGTCTTATTGATTTGGGAATTGGATGCCGACTCTCTGGCTTCTTCATGCTGAACAGGGGCGTAGATATAAAGGGGGGAAGGGAGGACGCTTTGTCACCTTACTGGTGGTCTTGGGTTACAGCTGCTTGCCTTCTTGTTCTGTTAGAAGATATTTTCCTGTCATTTGCTCCCCTCTGGACTGCAAAGTGTTTTCCCAGGTGGGTCCAGTGGGGATGGCTGGTTGAACCCAGAGGCTCCATCCTCCTTTGCTTCTTTAGCTGTCAGTTGTATTTCCTTTTTGTCACTGGCATTGGGTTCAGGGTCAATTATGGAGTAAAACTCAAAGTTAAGGTTACCTATAGGAAAGGGAGCAAATCTAGAAAATAGAAGGGCTTTGAGGGTATTGCTTTCAGGTTTACTGGGGGGGAGGGGCAGAAGGTGGCCTAGGTAACATTCTCTGGATACCCTAGGCATTCTTTTTTCCCCTTTTCTTCTCCTTACCCACCCCGGGGTCAGATGGCACAATCTGGGGACTGAGCAGCCCACCCTGAGGGCCATGACGGCTCACCCCGAGCCGGGGGCCAAGCTCAGCCCGCCCCGGGCAGAAGGCCACAACGGCTCGCCCCGGGCAGGGGGCCGAGGGCAGCCGGCCCCGGGCAGAGGGCCGCGACAGCTGAGGTAGTCTTTTTTTAAAAAAAGAAGAAGAAAAAGTGTGTGTGTGTGTGTGTGTACCGTCAAATTGGATCTGACTGCCCCTCCTTCTCCAGCAGAGCATGAAGTAGAGTCTGGATTTCCCCACCCCCCCGCCAGGTGCCTGTCGGGGCCTGGGTTTCAGCGGTCCACACCACAGCAGTGGGCAACGAGCTTAAAGCCCCTGATGGCTCTGGGCGCTGACTATCACCAGTGGCTATGGATGAACTCACAGGCGATTTTCCGCCAGCGCCGGTCATATATTCATTTTATATTACTTAAAGATAGAAGCAACCCAAGTGTCCATCAACAGATGAATGTGTAATAAAACTATGATGCATTCTCTCTCTGTCACACATAGACACACACATACAGAGGAAATATTATGCAGCACTGGGAAACAATGAGCTTTTAAAACATTACACAACATGGGGGAGCTTCAAGGACATTATGCTGAGTAAAATATCTCAGTCACAGAAAGACAAATATTGCATAATATTACTTTTGTTAAATGTGACAGACATGGGGGTGTTGAGGAGAGAATGGGAACAAGAGTGGATAGATAATGAACAACTAGAGTAGGTCACATGAGGGGAAGAACTGTTGAAAGAAATATATATAATTAGGCATTACGTATGACAACAGTCTGGAACAAGGGGTGCACTGTGAGGAGGCCTACGGGCAGGGGGAATGATGAGGGGAAGAAAATGGAAAAAAAGAAAATATTTTCAGTAAGGAAAAAAAAGTACTAACAAGACTTTGCTAAGTGATTAAATTTACGATAAGTAAGTCTGAGGGATTTTTACTAAGCTTCTCTTACTGAGAATATATTTGATCTTGATGGTTTCCTACAATAATACTCACCTGTGTAGTGGAGGTGCAACGGATGTCCCACATACAACATATCAATTTGAGGTGGGTGCTTCACTTTAATTAAGCGAGTGTGCGCTTCCAACGAAGGTATTATACAGAAATTTGAACTTGAACCTTTTTTACAATCTTTATTCGTTCTACAAACTTGAGTGGCCTCAACAGCTTTTCGGGCAGGCAGGCATGTATGCTATAAAAAATTAATTAGTGTTAAAAGTGCTTTATTAACAAGTAAAATCCAAGTTACATATCTTAAATACTTTCATGTTGACTAATATGTTATGAATAAAATTCACACAAAAAATTTGCATTTATGTACTTGTAACAGAACATTAAGAACAGCAATACTACAAATGAATGAAGTGTGAAAGCTAGAAATAAAGGACGATTAATAATTTAGAAATATGGTCTTGGTGCTAGAAATGGTGCTGGAGAAGAAATGACAGAATTTTACAAGATCCATTCATTAAAAATACATTTTTTCAGCAGTATAAATAGCAAGTACATGTGTGAATCTCACCAGAGGTTCAAACTGACCACGACTGTGAAAAAAAGATGATGGTGACTGTACCAATCAGGTAACAAGATTAGAGTTGATTTGGAATATGTAAGTTCAAACTGAAGGTGAATAAAATGAAAACAAGTACATACTGGCCAAAGTAAAACCTTGATTATAACCCATCTGAATTTAGCAACTTTCACAAGTATGTAACTGGTACAATGAATGTTTACTATCAAAGATCAGATGAGTGGTTGGATGACATCAAAGACACCATATATAAAGAAAATAAAATTATTAACAAGATAAAGAAAGCCTCTGTGGTTCAACTTGCACCTAAAAAATAGGCCTATAAAGTAAACAATAGAAGCGCTGGTGGCACAATGTATTACTTATTGGGCTGCTAACCAAAAGGTTGGAGGTTCGAATCCAACTGCTGTTCAATGGAAAAAAAGATGAGATGAGTAGTTCCCGCTCATAAAGATGTAAGATGTACAGTCTTGGAAAGTTCATGAAGTGTTACCACGAGTCGGAATCAATCTGACAGCAGTGGGTTTAGATTTTGGTATAAGATGCAGGATAACATCAGGGAGGTATTTAGTGTTTAGAACTAATCATACCAGATCAAAAGGGCAGTACTGTAACGTTCAGAGGCTAGAAGAAGAAAAGAATGCCCTTAGAAGAAGAAAATACTGACCCCAAAGGGAGGTGAAGAAGGAGCCCAAGAGAAGATCAGTAAGTAAGTCTGTCAGCTAAGCTGCCAGCAAAAGTGGAAACAGGGTCTAAAAAGGCAGGAGGAAAGGAGAAGGTTTCTGACAGAAAAGTGCAAAGGAAAGGGAAAACAGGGTGAAGTGGCCAACCAAGAAAAATGGGGGGGGGGGGAGAATATCTCATAATACAGAGCATACAAAATGCCAATTTGGAGGCAATATCATTTTTCATGTTTTTTAGATACATAAATTAGAACATTGTCTTCCTCCAAATATAAGCCGGAAAGTCATTGGAATTTAGAAAAGATTTACAACTACATGACATTTTAGACTTTTGGCATTTACACTGTAGGACCAAGCAGAGCTTTGTTCTGTTGTAACACAAGATGGCTGGAAGTTGAATAAATATTAAGGTATGTAACAACAACAATTATCACCACCATATTGAGCATGACGGAGATGCTGCTGATGGTGCAGAATAGAACAAGGTTCAGATCATTGTATAGGGTGCCTATGAATTACAGGTGACTTGATGGCACCTAACAACAATATTCCATTTTACTCAAGTAAGACACTACTAATATAACTTTTTACAAATTCTCAGTTAAAATTTGGATCATGAAATTTAGGAATTTTACTAAGATGTTTAAAAGTAGACAGAGCAAAAGGTACATTTTAATAAATTTCACTTTAATTCAACAGACTTGCTTTATGATCAGACATGTAAGGCTACTTCAGGGACAACTTACCAAGCGCTTATTAAAATTATTTCTATAGGAAAAGCACACATCCGTGAGGCTGTGATTGTTACAACATTCCATGGAACCATCCAGCCGTTTGTATGCTAAAGAGAAATACAGCCACTTATAATTTGTTATGCAGAATCACAGTTATAAGAAAATGTTATTTTCAGGATAAAAATAAGCCAGTAATAAGGCATGTGAGTTTAGAAGCAATAGTATAATTTAGAATTCAGTTTCTCAGTTACTTGCTGCAGTTTAGTTTTTACATTCATAAATCAGAAGGATCCAGTATGTATGACAACAATCTAGAACTGTGGGGAGGCCTCAGCAAGGGGGGGAAGATAATAATAGAAAAACAAACAAACAACATTTTTTATATTAAAGAAAATAATTTTAGAGAGTTTCCAATGCTGTAAATCTGCCTCAATCTTTCTCCTCCAGGGTGGTTGGGGAGGCCAAACCATTAACTTCTGGGTTAGCAATAGAATGCTTTAATTACTGTGCCTGACCCCAGGTCTCCTTAATAAGTGACAAAGACCATTTAAACTAGAATCTTAAACACATACTACCCCAGGTAAGATGAAAACAGACTCAAGAGCAAACCATTTTCCATGTACTGCACAACACTATTACATGTGTCTTTAAGCACAATCCAATGAAAATCCTTGTTCATACACAACATGATTTCACAAAATTTTGAATTTCTTTTTTAACCTAGATTACTAGATTACCCTAACCCTAACCCTGACTGTATTCACAAGCCCGTGTTCTTTATTCCTAGGCAACCCAGAACTTGGTGATAAAAATAACTGGAGGCAAAATAAAAGGATGGGTAGTTTTTGTTTTACCTTGGAATTGCCTGGATATGGGGGTAGTTTTGTTTTCATATTATAACTGAGTGGGCACTTGATTTAGGGGAACACGTCATATTTATGATATCAAAGTGAACTGTGCGTATTTAATGGCAAAGGCAAACCCATGTCTATGAATTTAGATTTTAGTTGAAATAATCACCTCACTCAGAGGTCACAGTGGTGATAACCTAGAGTTGACCTTGTTGTAACAAAGTAAATTTGTCTGCTTTGTTATAGGTCAGATTATGCCTCCTCCACAAATGTGTTGAAATCTGTAATACCTGTTTGGAAACAGGAATTTTTCTTTTGTTACCTTACTGAGGTCGTTGTGAGGTCAGAGTAAATCTAATCACTCTGGAGCTACAGAAATAGCAGCACACGTGCACTTGAAGACATGATAAAACAAGAGGCAGATAAATCTATAAGCCCAAGAACTCCAAGGGTTTCTGGCAGCTACCAGAAGCTGAAATAGTCTAGGACAAGTCCTTCTTCAAGTTCTGAATTCAAATTTCTAGCTTTATAATAATAAATAATAATAAAAACAAATTCAAAATCTCCCCCAATCTTTAAAAAATATTCATTTAGGATTTTAAGGGTATAGCAGAACTACATAACAAAGATAAGCATTGGTGTAAATATATCAGGTCAGCATTTAAGATTAAAGAAAAAACTTCTAGGTTAAAATGCACTCCTCCCTTTAATTAAGAGCCAAGTCTCACCTATTTTCACCTTCATGTTACTCTTCTCCTCACTGTATCTGAATATGCATGTTTTCTTTCTTCCTAGATCTAAAAAATCAGAGTCCTTCTAGGTTCCACTACCAACCTTTTGATCTGGGGTGGGCCCCTTTAACACTGTCCCCCCAAAACAAAGCAACTGTGTGGATACAATAGGAAGTGGCAGACTATGTGGAATCTGAGATCAAAAACTATGTTTTAAAGACTTAATAACCAGATGACTCAGCCTGGTGCCCAGTAGGGGCTCATCTTTCATTTTATTCCAAAAGAAAGCAGAAATCTAAGCCTTTAGGTGAAACTTGTTGAATGGAAGAAAAAAAATTTTAAAAAGCAACAACAGCTATCAGTCATAAGAATATTTCCATCTTTTTTTTTTTAAGACAAATCTGTGTTTGCAGGCCTTGTTGGGGGAGGAATATAGTCATATTTAAATTTTATATTTGGAATGAAAGCAAATGTTTAAGAAATAAAGCATTAACCTACAACCAGGAGAGGATAAAATAGATGAATGGGACCTTCTAAGAATGAAAGCACATCCAAAAACTTCTCCAAGAGGGTAAAAAGGGCAGCCACATATGGGGGGGGAAAATATTTGGTCATGACATGTCTGATTAGGGACTTATATCTAGAATTTATAGAATACTCAAGAACCACAACTAGATAAATGTAAACAACCCAATTGCAAAATGGGCACAGAAGACATTCAGAGGGCGAACAAACACATGAAGAAATGTTCAAAATCCCTAGCTCTAATAGAGATGCAAATGAAAATAACTATGAGCTATCATCTCACCCCAGTCAAAATAGCAAAATTTAACAGAACAGCAAGCAACAAATGCTATTGTGGAGAAACTGGAACACTTATTCATGTTGGTAAGAGTGTAAAATGTTACAACCACTATGGAAGGCAGTATGGCACTTTCTCAAAAAGTTGGAAACAGAAATACTATTTGATTCAGCTACTGGGAATATACCCTAAAGAAACCAGAACTGCCACCCTAGCAGATATATGTTCACCCACGCTTTATTCACAATAGCAAAGAGTTGGAAACAACCCAAGTGCCCATCAACAAATGAATGGATAGTTAATTGTTTGTATAGTAAATGAAACATGGATAGACATTCTTCTGGTACTCTCTGCCAAGACCCAACTGACATTGGCAATAATGTCTCTAATGCCAAGACCTCTTCTAAACTCAGATTGCATTTCTGGTAGTTCTCTATCAATTCAATTGTTTCAAAAGGCAGCGTGGGAAGACAAAGTAAAATATTGCAATGAAATGTGCAAGAAGCTGGAGTCAGAAAATAAGGGTCAAACTCACTCAGCATTTTTTTTTTTTACTCAGCATTTCTTAATCTCAAGGAACTGAAGAACAAATTCAAACCTCGAGTTGCTATTATTATGGACCCTTTAGGCAGAATACTAAATGATCCAAGAAGTATTAAAAAAAGGTGTCAAGAGTATACAGAAACACTGTATCAAAAAGAATTGGCAGACTCAGAAGAATTTCATGAAACAACATATGAGCAAGAGCCTATGGTGATGAAGGAAGAAGTTCAAGCTGCTTTGAAAGAATCAGCAAAAAACAAAGCCTCAGGAATAAATGCTGCCCTGGATGTGCTCACTAAGTTATGCCAAGAAATCTGGAGAACCACCACATGGTCAACTGACTTGAAGAGATCTGTATTTGTTCTCATTCCAAAGAAGGGTGACCCCACAGAGCATGGAAATTATAGAACAATATTGATTTCATGGGATTAGTAGTCAAAAATCAAAAGATTTTAAGTGAGCTCTGGTGGCCTAGTGGCAAGAAGCTGCACTGCAATCACAGAGGTGTGCAGTTCGAATACATTATATGCTCTGCTGGAGAAGGAGGGACAATCTCCTCCTGTACCAGTGAGATCTGATTTGACAGTAGACATACAAAATAATAAGATAATAATAAAATAAAATTTAAAAAAAACCAAAAGATTTGACAAATTTTTAACAATTTAGTGTAGAGAGCAAGGACGTCACTTAAAAGACTAAGGTGCATATGAAAAATTATAGCATTCTCAGTTGCTTGCACTTCATTGCACAATGAATAAGGAGGATCAAAGGAGAATGAATGCCTTTGAATTGTGATGATGGTAAAAAGTACTGAATATACTATGCATCGCCAAAACAACAAAAATGAAGGCATTACTAACACTTGGCCCACTGGTTATCAGTGAGCTGAAACATGGACTTAACACAGTTTTTTGAAGGTAGAAAGAATGAGACACTAATGCTGAAGATCAAAATATATCATAAAGGAAACATACCTATTGGTACCCAATTTCCCTGGATGAATGTCAGCTTATTTGGCCTATTACTTTACTGATGTGCTTTGAAAAGATTAGAATGAGATAAAATCACAGTCATAGTCTAAGGAGCAGTAATGGCACCTACTGATGCTGAAAGAATTATTTTATAGTGAGGAAATATACACACCTCTAACTGGGAAGCTTAACTGCTGTAAAGTTGATGCACTTATACAGTAACCAATCTGGGGCTCATAGGCGATGTTATCTAGACATTCATTCCAATCCTGCACATTAGTAACAGGACAATCCTGTAGATGTGTAACAAGGTCTCCCACAAAAAGTCCTCTGGGTCCAATGGCAGGTGAGTCCTTGGAAAGAGCACATAAGATGATTAGATAATTTGTGAAGACAAAGACTTATTAGAATAAACAATGTTTAAGAACACTGAAGCTAATGAACTATAATATTCTGAAGAATACAGAATATAATTTAGACACAATGACTTTAAATCCATGAATATCAACCTGGAAAAGGAATACTATAAAACTCAATGACTATATTTACACTCTAGAATTTTGAATTAGTAAGTAAAAAAGAAATCCACTTCTTGTCCATGACCACAAAAATGATAAGGGTTTTTTCTAAACTCTTAATTTATGTGTGTTGGTGTGTGCGCACGGGTGCGTGGGGGGTGTGTGAATGTGCACATGTGCATGCACGCATGCTTATGCATTCTTTTTTCCTTAAAGGATAAAACTGAAAGAAAATTTGTGGTACACCTATATCTATAGGCATAACCCTGCTGACAGAGATAATGTTCTACATTTCAATGTGGTAAAGAGTGTTTTGGGTCTCAGAAATGAAAGACAGGATTAATGTCCTGTTAGTCCTCCATGAACCACAACTTCTCTGACAGAAGAGACCAGAACCAGGTAGTGCCAGCTATCACTACTAAAGGATACAATAGGAGGTCCCTGTTAGAATGGGAGAAAGATGTATAATAAAACGCAAGTGTATAAGCAAAGGCCAGACTTATTGGAATGATAGAGACTTGAGGAACCTCCAAGACCCAAGACAGGCTTTTTTTTTTTGGTGAGAAAAATTTATATTTAGAATTAGCTCGCTGGACTCAGTTTAGATGATCCCAATTTTGTTGGCAACATCCAAAGCATCATAATCAGGAGCAAGTCGAACAAAGGCCTTCTTCTCTCCATCAGGCCTAATCAAAGTGTTGACCTTAGCCACATCGATGTCATAGAGCTTCTTTACAGCTTAATTTGGTGCTTGTTGGCCTGGACATCCACAATGAACACAAGTGTGTTGTTATCTTCTATCTTCTTCATGTCTGACTCAGTGGTCAGGGGAAATCTGATGATGGCATAGTGGTCAAGCTTGTTTCTCCTGGGGGTGCTCTTCCGGGGGGTATTTGGGCTGCCTTCGGAGTCTCAGCGTCTTAGGCCGCCAAAAGGTGGGTGATGTGCAGATCTTCTTTTTTTTTTGGCTGTGGACGCCCTTCAGGACTGCCTTCTTGGCCTTTAATGCCTTTGCTTTGGCTTCAGTTTGCAGAGGGGCAGGGGCTTCCTTCTTAGCTTTCGGCACCATCTTCGTAGAAAGGCAAGACAGGCTTTTGAACATGGACTTGGAGTCACTGCTGGAGGTCACTTTTCAGCCAAATAATAGATTGGTGTATGACACAATAATAGCTGTGAGGAAAGCGGTCCTTACAACAATCAACCTTAAGAGAGAGACAAAACAGGCAACATTTGCCCAAAAGAAGGCAAAGACAGACAGGGAAATTGGAGGGATGGGAGAGGGGAAAGTAGGTTGAAACAGGGAGAGTATGGACGCATTACAGGGATAGCAAAGTCACAACGTCATGGTACAATATGTGTCCCCATTGTGGAATGGAAACTAATCTGATCTATAAACTTTTACCTAAAGCAAAATGAAATGTTAAAAAGTCAAAGGAAACAAGTAAAACTATGAAACAATTATTTTTTTAATAATATTTTTTTTAATTGGGAAAAACATATTGCGGGTACAAGGAGGTGAGGGTTGGGGGCAGAAGGGTGAGGATGGGCCAGGATGCAGTTGCAGAGCTGCACAGTTTGGTTGGTGGGGGGAGCAGGTGAAGGAAATGATGAGGGTCCAGTGGGGACCAGATGCTACAGAGGAATGACAAGCATTTTCCAATAGTAATTAAACCAACTGTCTTAGTGATTTGGGAGTTGGATGCCGACTCTCTGGTGGCTTCTTCATGCTAAACAGGGACGTAGATATAAAGGGGGGAAGGGAGGATGCTTTATCACCTTACTGGTGGTCTTGGGTTACAGCTGCTTGCCTTCTTGCTCCTGAGGGCCGCGACGGTTCGCCCCGAGCCGGGGGCCAAGGGCAGCCCGCCAAGGGCAGAAGGCCATGACGGCTCGCCCTGGGCAGAGGGCCAAGGGCAGCCCACCCCGGGCAGACGGCCATGACGGCTTGCCCCGGGCAGGGGGCTGAGGGCAGCCCGCCCCGGGCAGAGGGCCGCGATGGCTCGTCCCAGGCAGAGGGCCGAAGGCAGCTTGCCCCAAGCCTGGGGCCGAGGGCAGCCCACCCTGGGTAGACGGCCACAACGGCTCGCCCTGGGCAGGGGGCCAAGGGCAGCCCGCCCCGGGCAGAGGGCCGCAATGGCTCGCCCCGAGCCGGGGACTGAGGGCAGCCCGCCCCAGGCAGAAGGCCACGACCGCTTGCCCCGGGCAGGGGGCCACGATGGCTCGTCCCAGGCAGAGGGCCGAGGGCAGCCCGCCCTGGGCAGAGGGCCGCGAGAAACAATTATTGATAAAAACATAGTTAAACTCATTCAATGGCTCACAAAAGTACATTTCTATTTCCTGATGTCTGAATAGTGAGCTCTGGTGGCCTAGTCATAACCGAGTTGCACTGCCAATTCGGAGATTCATGGTCTCTGAAAATCTCTCAGACGGTCGGTCAGTTATGAGTAGGTTTGACTTGGTGACAATGAGTTTGATAACTGTATAAAGGGCTTGATGATACCATAGAAATTACCACCTAAGGGAATAAAATTATGTGTATTTTCCAACAAAATGTTATATACAATTATGTTACAAGTTGAAAACATTAACTCCTATGACATGTTCTGGCTTTTTCTCACTTCTTAGGAGTAAACCCTTCTGACACAAACATAAACAGTAAAAGGAAAATAATTCAGCTTATCAACAAACTTCAAGCAAAAACTCTTGATATTATCTTCGTAATTAAAAATAAAACAATTTTCCTGTTGTCTTTTTTATAGTGAGAAAAATTTATATTTCTAATTAGTCAGCTGGACTCAGTTTAGATTATCCCAATTTTGTTGGCAATATTGAAAGCATCATAGTCAGGAGAAAGGTGAACATAGGCCTTCTTCTCTCCATTAAGCCTAATCAAGGTGTTGACCTAAGCCACATCAATGTCATAAAGCTTTTTTACAGCTTGTTGATTTGGTGCATTTGTGGCCTTCACATCCACAATTCACACCAGTGTATTGTTATTTTCTTTCTGTCTTCTTCATGGCTGACTGAGTGGTCAAGAGAAACTTGATGACTGGCAGGGTGGTTCAGCTTGTTTTTCCTGGGGTTGCTATTCCAGAGGTATCTGGGCTGCTGTCAGAGTCTCAGTGGTGGTCCTTCCTGGCTTTTAACACCTTTGCCTTGATTTCCATTCTCCGAGGGGGAGGGGCTTCCTTCTTTGTTGAAAGCTTTCCTGGTGTTTTTTAAAAACCTAATTTTTCACATCATTGTTTGTTAGAGTTTAAAAAATTCTAGTACTTTCTTCACAAGAAACTGAGCTTGGTGTGTATCAAGAAAATCTGAATAAAGGTTCTTGTCATAATATGCTAAATATTATATCATAAAGTCTGGTGAAAAATGTCCCCAAATAATCCTTACTTACCTCAGCAACTTCAGTGATAAGAACTCCAACTCCAGTGTAGTAAAATGGCAAGAGAATTACTGGGAGAAGAACAAGTGCTAAAATGCCTAGGAGTGCCAGGACAAAATTATGCCAGATTCCTGAAAAGAGGGGGGAAAAAATTAAGAAAGAATATACGTAGGTGAATTTCTTAACATACTGAGCATCCTGTTAAATAAATGACCAGAGAAGTGTAAAACAGCTGCTTCTTGAAACAATAACTGAATGAAAAATCCAACTTTTCTGTAAACTTTATTAAAATCACAATTAAAAAATTTTAAAAATCCCACCCCAAACAACAAACAGATGACTCCATTTATTAGTGCATTTGAGAGATGTTCAGTTAGAAGTCTTTTCTTTTTTGATACTAAACATGAGCAAATGAACACAACACTACAAAGACCACAGGTATATAAGGTTTAACACAGAATTCAGTCTACTAACTACTCTTTCTTCAGAAAATATAAACATTATCTATTTAGACATCCTTGTGCTCTTTTCAGCTACTGAAGTTCAAGATAAGAAACCAAACCAAGAAAACCCCACTCTTGTGAAAATAGGGAGCAGTAACACAAGTGGTACTTGGAAACAGGGACTCTGCAATTCTAAGACTTATTACAGTGTTCATTGTGGATATTAACACCAAGTACCAGATCAACAAGCTGTAAAGAAGCTCCAAGACATTGATGTGGTCAAGGTCAACATCTTGAACAGGTCTGATGGAGACAAGGCCTATGTTTGACTTGCTCCTACGTTTTGGATGTTGCTACCAAAATTGAGATAATCTAAACTGAGTTCAACTGGTTAATTAGAAATGCAAAGTTTTTTCTTTGTTTTTAAATATTTATTATATTATTTTTACGTGTACCATCAAATCAGATCTGACTGGTACAAGAGGAGATTGCCCCCTCCTTTTCCAGCAGAGCATCTGGTGGATTTGAACCACGTACCAGAGGTACGTCTTGCCATTGCAGTGCAGCGGAGAAATGCAAATTTTTATCTCTCACACACACAACATGTATTGGTAAAAAAATTAAGTATGAGGGAGCTGTTGTGGCCTAGTGACAAGAAGCTGCATTGCAATCCCAGAGGCATGCAGTTCGAATCCACCAGATGCTCTGCTGGAGAAGGAGGGACAATCTCCTTCTGTACCAGTCAGATAGATTTGATGGTACAGGCATTAATAATAATAACAACAACAACAATAACAATAGAGTATGTATGTTATACTATGGCGATACAGCAACAAGGCTGGGTCATTACACACCCACATAGAAAAAAAAAAAAGTTAAAGGGATTTAATACCACCACTTCCATTGTTTCTAGCTCAGATAAGAATAAAGAGAATCATCCAAAACATTTGTACCTCTACCCCATCCACTCCTAGATCTTGTAGAACAGTGATAAACAGCCTTGAGGGCATTTCTTCTATTTATTTCACTATCTTGTTGTTGTTGTTGTTATGGGCCGTCGAGTTGCTTGCGACTCATAGCGACCCTATGTACAACAGCCCTACACTCTGCTCTGTCCTGTGCCAATCGCACCATCTCTGACACTCCCATCCCGATTATCCCAGTCACTGAATCAATCCACCTCATAGAGGGCCTTCCT